ATGACCGGTCATGTTACCGGTCATGAGGCAGAGTCATGGTCATGACAGTTGTCATGCTCCTTGTGCAGCATGACTGATCATGAATCGCCACTCATATGTGTAAATTCAGTCATGTTCCCAATGGTCATATGCTGGCTATGTGTTCATGTTTTGTTCCTTTCTAAAAAATGACAATTATATGCCATATGGACTCCGGAATCCCTTCTGAAATGCTGCATAGTATATTACCTCTATAACAATGTGCACAATGTACTATACAGCATCCCTGCCGGGATTCTGGAGTGCACTTGAATTACCTTCGTTTCAGCCACTTGCAGTGACTTGATATGCATTCAGGCGCGGCCGTAAACAAAGCCCTTAGGCTTAGCTGCACTTATCCAACGCAAAAGATCAGTATATGCCAGCTAGCAGGGCAACTTCCTTTTGGCCTGTTGCCATGCCTTACTCGGTCAGCTCCCTTACACCCTGTTGTTAATTTGAAGCCATATGTTACATACTTAAGGCATGTATTTAAGGTTTAATTAGCAAAGATTCTCTCCTGCTGTGTTCAAGCATGACAAGTTAAGTCACCAGCTCGCACCGTCCCACAGGCACAGCATTGTTGATGTAACTAGCTAAAACATGTGGGAGGTGCATTAGTCTTAACCGCAGGCGCGGCGGCGGCCATACTCCACCCCCTGTCTTTGCACTGGTGCCGATATGCATGTGACCGACTACCAAACCAGTTGGCACAGTTGGTGCAGTGAAAAGGCTGGGAGGAGTCCGGAGCAACATCCGGTCTAAATGATCTTTCGTGGTTTGGATGCCACCTCCAGCGCATTCAATGACATGGCAAACTGGCTAATGTGACCAGTAAGAATGATCACAATGTGTAGGAGTACCAGAACATTCATGTTTGTATCAATCGTCGAGCTTCTAATGCTTCTACGCAAGCAAGCATTTGGTCCCGCCATGACAAAAGAGCATCCTATTCTATGGCAGGTTCTGGCCAGGATTTAAATGATGCAATCAACAAAGTTCGGTAGCCACGAAACAACTTCCCAGATTTGAATTTGCAGCCATGTGAACTTTATACCATGCTGTACACTTCCGGACCAGGGTCCGGAATTGTACGGCTTTTCCCCTCTTGCTGCCCAGAAGTCATGTGAACGTGGGACAATTTGCAGCACCAATAAGAAACGTCACTGCGTTTAGCACTA